AAAATTAAGCTTGAAAACTTTTTGAATTTTGATCAATAGCTAAAAATGGAAATTGTAATATTGTGGAAGGGTATTTAATTACCCGACCACCTTTGTTTGATAATATCCCTTTTGATTTTTGGAAAACTCGCATGTCTACATTTTTATAGTGAATTGATTATTGCATGTGGATGCTTGTTAAGGATGGTTATACACCTCCAACTGAAAAGTTGAATGGCATTATTGTTCCACTTCCTTTTACTGAATGAACTCTAGATGATAGGAATCTTGCATAACTTAATGCAAAATGTCTGACCTGATTTTTCTGTGCTTTAAAATATGAAGATTACATGTGTGTTTCAACTTGCACAAATGATAAAGAGATTTGGAATAAATTGTGTCACTTATGAAGGAACCAAAGAAGTTAAGCAATCTCGTTTGAATATTTTATTGCATGATAATGAACTTTCAAGTGGTATCAGAGCTTAGGGTTAACATGAACGGATATTTTACCATTTTTTGGATTTTTGATGTTGTTAACTCATTAACTTACAAATTTTTAAAATCAATCACATGGAGACTATATCATATTCATGCCTTGATTTAAAAAAAACTTTATTTCTTTGTTAGTTTTTATGTATTTTTCATATTTTATCATTATTATTTTTAGTTAATTTTATTATTTTTGGGCCTTCTCTGATCATCTCCATCCTTCCTCTGTTTTCAATTTTTTTTGTCACATCGTCCTGAATAATATTTATATCGTCCTGGAAGATCTACTCATCTTTTTTCAAAAAACTCCATCTACTAAATATTTTGACTTTTCTGCTCTTCATCGTCCTGGACGATCCATTATCATCCTAGATGATATGATCGTCCTGGACGATCCATTATCATCCTAGATGATATGATCATCCTGGACGATATGATTGTCCTGGATGATATGATCGTCCTCTACTACAATCATCTTGATCGTCCTAGCCGATACCTTTTTGTCCTGGCCGATGCATTTATTGGTAATCATCCTGTTTGATACACATGTTCGTCCTGGACGATACATATGCTAGCACATTTAAAATCTATAAATTCACCCACGACGACCCATTTTTGGAAAATCATCCTGGATGATCCACTATTCGTCCTGGACGATACACGTGGCATATGATTTAAAACATTTTAAATTCGGCCGGTACGATCCATTATTGAGCATCGTCCTGGATGATCCACATAATCGACCTGGACGATATACTTTTTTAACAGTCGTCCGTCCTGACTCCTCGGGACGATCGCCTGTGTCTATTCGTCTCGGATAATATCTGATCATCCCGGATGATCAAATCACCTTTTTTGACCAATCGGCTAGCCGCAATAATTGCACTAGATCATCCTGGACGATCCGACCGATCCTTTAAATTCTGAGTCATCCAACAAGATTTTTCACACCAAACTCTTCCTTTGGCTTCTTCTTTCCTGTTCCTTGCTATTCTCTGCTAATGGCTGGCGGCAAGCGTTCCCTTCACACGTTTGGAAGCTCCTCGAGGGCCACGCTGGACCCTCAATTTCGGGAGGCAGACGATCAGGTTGCCTACCACCGATACAAAAATTGCAGCATTACTCTCTCCAGATCAATCAATCCAAATCACCTCTCTTACCCAGTACTCGACTTATTCACTCACACCTATTCATGTTTTATTGTCACTCTCGCAATCCCTTTTAATTCTGAACTTCTCTTTGAATTTTATGCCAACCTCTGAATCAATTCTGTCTACACTGCTCTCACATCGTATGTGAATCGATGCCCTATCGAGATCACATACTAGGATTGTGTAGAATTACTGCAACTTTTCACCACTGGGATAAGCTGCATACCCTGGTTTCTGATCCTTATTTTAATTGGGCTACGGCCAATCACTTTCTTCATCACACCAAAGCCCCCTTTCATGTTGGAGAGACTAGATTTTTACTTAAAGATGTTAGGACAATCCAGCACGTCATTCTCACCTCTGTGATTCTCAAAGCCGACGATCGCATTCATGTCACTCCCCTTCTTTCACTCACCACTTTTTACATCATGGCCAATCATGAATTCATTGCAATAGACCTGATCTTTCACTACATCGAACATTTGACTACAATTAGAGATCTAGGTCATAGAAGGAAGCCCAATCTTGCTCTAGGACACATCATTGCATATGTTCTATAATCCAAATACAGTCTTTAATATCCTGCTCCTCCTGATCATCAGCCACCCTTTTACTCAAACAGTTCCTTCAACGTCCTTCACAGCACTCGTTTCCACCCAGGGGCTGAGGAGGAGGAGGCTTCCGCTCCTCATTCTGCACCTGTTCCTCTCCGCTAGCACTCTCAGCTAGAACAGTTGGTGGAGAGATTTGATCAGTGGGAGACCCGCTTTGATGCCTACATTGCTGCACAGGAGCAGCAGCATACTGAGGACATCATCCGCATGCAGCACCAGCACGATCAGGACATGGCCTGGTTCGGATTTCAGTTTGCCATATTAACTAGTTACTTTTCACCACCACCACCTCCTCTGTTTGATGATTATGATTCCTCGTTTTTCTAGTCTTTTGTTTATTATGCTATTTTTCTGAAGTTTGTTTTTATTCTGGTTGTTTTAATTCCTGTTCTATTTTTTTTAGTTTCCTCATCCTTTTTGTGATGTTAAAAGGGGGAGTAGTCTACTGTACCTTGTACTTTGATTCTAGAATTTAGTAAACTGCTTTTCGTTAAACTATTTCCATTAAACTGTCGAAATTGCTTGAAACTTTCTGATTATGTTTGCCATCATCAAAAAGGGGGAGATTGTACGAATCTAAGTTTATGGATTAGACTTTTGATGATAGTAAACTTTCATAATTATCTGCGACTGCTTTCCCTACTAACTTTTTAGTTCCACAAGATCGAATGCAATTCAAGCCAGCTCAAGATTGAGTAGATTTAGTTTGAGTCAGTTTGTAATTTTTCCTTTCTTGAGTCTATTGTAAAAGTGGTTCTTGATGCTAAGTAACCTTGCATACACACACTTGAGATTTTTTCTATAATTTTCTATTTTGAGTACATCATCCTAGATAATGTTCATATCGGCCAGGACGATCTAACTAAAAATAGAAACTCTAATTATGGCATCCTAGTTAAGGCAGCCGTCATTAAGCACATCGTTCTGGATGATCCTTATATCAGCCAGGATGATAGGCTCAAATCAGAAAGAATCAGTCGCCAGATTTATTTAGGTAAGATTTATTTTTGGACATCGGCCAGGCTGATCCATTACATTGGTCTGGACGATTTAACACAATTATGCCTAAATTAATCTGGTAATTAAGGAAAGTAATTAAGGCTTGATTGATACAATCAGATCGTCCTGGACAATCTCATGATCGTCCGGATGCTTAAGACCTTGAGTGCTACTATCTTGACCTAAGAGAGCCAAGGGAGAGGGGGAGAGAGAGAGAGAGAGGAACTTGTGAGGGGGAGTTTGTGAGAGGGTTCACAAAGGTTGCTCCAAGCAAGGTTCCAAGTCATCTTCTCCATTCTTCATCCTTCATCTTTGGGAGGTTCTTGGGAAGTCTACTTCAACAAACGGTCCGGGTTCTCTACCCGCTTCAGGAGGAAGCAAAAGGAGTTGGTTCTCTGCCGCACCGGGGTTGATGAAAAAGAGTCTGTTGTAAAAGCTTCTCCGCATAGCTATGGGAGCTAAAGGAGAGACACTTAGTTAGTGTAATACTCAAAGGGTGTCTCTGAGGAGTGGACGTAGGTCAAGGTTTGACCGAACCACTATAAATCCGGTGTGATATTTCTTTGTTTTATTTCTGCATTTATTTTTCCGCACGTTGATTTGCTTGTGGTGATATTGGTTTGATTTTTATTTGTGCTTTGCTTAAGAAATTTTTTAAAATACTAATTCAACCCCTCTCTTGGTTAGCCTCGGGCTAGTTCTTAAGGACTTAACATCCCTAACAAACTTTTAAGTATGAGAGAAAAAAAAAACCATTGATGTAACCCAATGGTTTCTCCATTGCAAACTTGTTATAATTTTATCGAATTCCTCGATAATGAAATCCCTTATGCATGTAACCCAATTGATATAAAAGAATTCATTTACATTATTTGCAATAGATATGTGTCTTTTAGGGGTTTTATGATTATTTAGGGGAAAAATTAGATTAAATAACAAAAATATTATAAAGGTCCTTAACTTAATTGCATTATCGATTGATCTATTTAATTTTAACATTTCAATTTTTATTTTTATTGATAGAGGTCCTGTGAGGAGATTAATCTTTCATTTGATATCAACACCTCTATTAGATAAATTTGTGAGAAGGTTTTTGTTTAATTGGCCAAACATAATACATTACAAAATAAAAAAATCTATCAATAATTCCATATTTAAAATCAGATATGTTAGTAGAGCCACCTCATCATAAGTGAATTTAAACAAATGACCATTCACAATGAAGCATTTATCAGAAGAATTCCAAAATTTCAGAACCTCATAAAAGTGGTATACACTACTGGAATGTCGGGAATCTCAAAAATTGATGAATGTTCAAATTTCTCAAAGTGTCCTCAACATATTGGTCAATTATCTCCACAAAAGTGTTGCAAATTTTTTTGGAAGTGATAACATAGCATCGAAAAGTAACATAACTTTGATAGGCAGACATCTGGAAAAAAGATTTATAAAAGAGAATTAAAAAAAGCGCAATAAAAGCACAACTAAACCGTAAATAAAGCACAATTTTAAAATCATTTAATTTAACTTATATTCTTTGATGAGAATGTTGAAAAACCAAATAAAACTATATTAAAAAAGTATTGAAGGAACTAGTATGCATGAAATGAATTGTAAATCCAAAAAAATAAAACCGCACATAAAGCGCATCAGATACGCAATATAGGCGCAACAAAGTCACAACATTATCTTTTCTTAAATGCAGCAACAAAGTCAAACTGACAAGACATAAAACATAAAATTATATTAAAATTAAAAAAATTCTAAGTTTTGCATTTACATGTCAAAATCTTTATGGGCGTCCGAACGAACGCAAGCTAGTCCGGTCTCGGGACCTAATAATTTTCCGACTGATGAGCCAGCCATTCGATCACCCTCGCGATTCCTTTCCATGGCTGCGGCTTTCCGTCCCACGGCTTCCGTTTCCACCAATCTCAAGCCCATCTCCGCCGCCACGAGGTCGCCGGCAATTGTCGGCGCTGTCGACCTCTCGACCTTGGAGAAACGAAAGCTTCCGGTGCTTCTGTTCGATGTTATGGACACCATCGTCCGCGATCCATTTTACTATGACATCCCCGCCTTCTTCAAGTGCATTTTTTTGATATCTGTTAATCTCTATTGAACTCTTAATAAAATTATTTTGGGGCCTTAAAATTTTTATCTTGATTTGCATACTTTTTCATGCTGTGTTATTGGGCCTTTGAAGCACTCGGTTTACTCTCCATTCCCGTCTTTTTTTCATTTAAAGGCACGATTCAATACTAGGATTTTGATAATATCCTCATTTATATAATGATTGCAAATGTCTTTAGTTTTTTGGTTTAGGGGCTGTTTGGATACAGGATTTAGGAAGGATTTAGCTGCCAAACAGCAAAAAACGACAATTTCAGATACTGTAAACCATAATTTTATTGGCACAAATATCTTGAAAATGATTACAATTGTCTTCATTATTTTTGAATAGTTTATAAATTAAAAATGAATAAAGCAAATACTTGACTGGAAATTTTTTAATTTCATGTGTCTTGAGAAAGCGTCATTCTATTTTTTTTTTTCGTTTTCTGAAATATATTGGGCATTTCGATGGGTCAAGTGATAGATTGAGGCTCTGTTTAGTTTTTGCCCGGTCTGAGAAATTGAGGGTATTATTTTAGTTTATTAAGTGAAAAGGGGGTAATCGAAGTTCAACATTGTTATTAACCCTTCGTTATGTGATTTGGTTCATTACACAAATGACGAGAAATTGCAAGGCTAACGTAGAACAAGTTATGAAGAATCTTCAGTTGAGCATGCAATCTACTATGTCTCATTAAAATATGTTCTTTTAGAACTCTAATTGATAATAAAAGGAAGCAAGTGTTATGAATTTTTACACAGGGTGTAGGTTATGGAATCCAGAAGCTTGGGATCTTTTAAATGGAAAAAATACATGCTAATGGATATTGTGAGAATTTTGTTTGTGTATGAAGAGAAGAGCTAGACAAATCCCTGGAAGAGAACATTAAATGCCATTATGATAACTGAAGATAGTTGGTAATGTTTAGGGAGAAAAAATTAGGAGTCTCTAAGATCTACTAAGACAAAATAGCAGCGATATTAACATCAAACAATGGGCAAAGAGTTAAGGGAGTGAGAGTTTATGCTAGTGAACATTTTGGATTGAATAATGTCTAGGTCAGTACATCTACAATTTTTTTGATTGTGAATCAAATAGCCTATGCAAGTCAGAACAAAGCCCTCAGCTGAAAGTATTAGTATGGATTCCTAATTCTCACTATCAAATTTTGAGAATAAAAACATTTTGAAGAGTATATGATAGTGATTAAAATACTGATAAGAGGATATCATGGATGCTTAAATGTAAATTTTATAAAATCTCAATTAGGCTAATGATACTATATTCAAATATTGAGCTGGAATAAAATCATTGATATTTACGGTGAGTGTAGCATGATTGAGAATCTAAGATGGATGAATTATAAAATTATGAAGGATAAATTTAGAAATTATTATGTTAGATGAAATATTGAACTGCTATTTATTGAAGATAAGGTGATTGAAAATAAGTTTAAGTGGTTTAGACATGTACAACAAAAGCTGAAAAAAGTATCAATTAGAGAGTTCATAAAATTAATGCTTGATGATTAGAAAATGGAAGGGGTAAACTTAAAGATACATGGATAGACGTTTTTCAAAATAATTTGAGAAGAATATGTTTTTACTCCTTAGACACCACTCAACAAGAGCAAATTTAAATTGAGGATTTATAAATAAGGCCAATATTGCATCAGAGTTTTACAATATGTTGGGTATGCATTCATGTTTTCAAAGTTTTGCCTTTTGTTAGTGCGCTAAACTGGGTGAATTATTATAATGATGCATAAAACTAGGATTTTTGCTATACATAGTTACAATGTGGATCCAATCATCTAATTGATGATGCAGACTCTTTATATGGACGATGACAGAAATGATCTTAGTATGTTAGAGAGAGAAAACCCAATTAACGTGCGACATGCATAGCAAAAAAAAAAAAAAAAGCTGCATTAACATTGAATAAAAATAGCTGCAAGTAGTTTGTCAATATAAAACATTTTAATGTGATTAAAGTAGTTGCTTCTTACAATAAATTTGTGAGCATATATATGAGCTTTGAAAGTATGTCATGTGAGTTGAGGAGAAGATGTTGGATTATATCTCCTTGGAGGAAGAAAAATGGTGATAAACCTTCTCTCAACATGAGAATCTTTAGAAAGCATATTGAGAGGAATCTCTTTATGATTTTTCTTTAGTGATATGAATGTTATAGTGCATTTAAAGACTATGGGATATTGATTTCTCATGGCCACATGCCATCGTGGTTAATTTCATTTTATCAATCATGGTTGTAAAAATTGGACCGGATGTCGAACTAAAAATATGAGAGGTTCAAGGTAATGGTTTGATCGGGGTTTGAACCGGATGACGTAATAAATATTATAATTATTTAAATAAAAATAAATGATATAATAATGATATAATGATATAAATTTGTGTAGAAAGAGATCACATGGGGTGGTGGGATTATGTGGGTATGAATTGTTGGTGCTTAATTGATACATAATTATTATACAAATTTTAGTTTTTTATTAAATAAAATGTGTTATATATTTAAATTAATTTAATATTTAATTAAATGTTTTATATTAAATTAAATTATTTAAATAGGTTATGAATTGAACCGATCGGTTCTTAAAAACTAGGATTGGTTCAATGGTTGACCGGTTCCAACCATTGAACCGATAGTTTAAACTTATTCTCAACGGTTTGATGTTGGGTTAGTTTTTCATGAGAACCAAACCGATCATATGACTGATTCACGGTTGAATTGGCCGGTCCGATTTTCAAAACCATGTTATTTGCGAACACTCTCGATAGAAAATGTTCTTAATTAAACATAAGTGGATCTTTACAACAATCCCAATCATAGGAGATAGTCTTATGTGGTAATCAAGCTCACATGGCCCCACAATGGGGTAAGGGAGTGAGAAATTCAATTGGTGTCAGCATGATGTTATGGAAATGTGGGTCTTAGAATCTGCAAATAGGGAGCTAACCAATGATGAAGGGGATTACTCGACCTTTGCCTTGATGTCAGGTCTCTATACTATATATACAAGAAGACCAAAATGCATATGAGGATCTTCAACGTAATGCAAAGTTCAAAGTGATTCTAGATCTATATGTTGACATGATTCAATGATATGCAATACATATATGCATCGACTAGACACTTGTTGACAAAGTTTTTAATTTTAGAACATGGCTAAACACCATAGTATCATTTTGTATTCAAGCTAAAATGGATGAGAATTTCATTTTAACATTTTCTTAAAAAGGTGGCAAAGAGGTTGAGGAATTCACAAAATATTTTTCTAATTTTTATCTTTTTCAATTCTTTTGGGGAACCTAACGCATGATGCCCAAAAAGAAAATAAACAAGTGTGCATACACAAACTTGTATAAAACTCTGTAATAAATCTAAAGGTACCTCCAAAACTCAATAAATAGAAAACATGCAAAAAAGAAGACAAAAGTACAATAAAGGTTCAAATACTCACCCTATTGATCTTCAATTCTGCATTCCAGGGCTAGGTATACAAAGCAAAGACCAGCTTTATTCACATATTAGGTTACTACATTAACCTTTAATTTTGCATCAATGTTAAAATAGATGAAAGAACATGAGTTTTCTAAATGAATGAAGCCTAAGTGCTTATTGTAAGAGTAAGCTGCAATAAAATATACTTGAGCGTGGAGATCTACAAGAAAGGTAGAATACGAAGGAGTGCATGTGTATGTTGCAAAGTAGGCAGAATATAAGAGTGCAAACTGTATAGTCTTCCTAAACCACAAGTATGAGATTTAGTTTTATGATATTAGGAAGACTTAGATGACAAACCCATAAGGTTTAGGCCACGTAGCTTCGGATCAATCTGGACTAAATGCGAGGATATTCTAAGAATGAATGTCCTTGAATCTTCCCCCATTTTAAATAGTATCCCTTCCTAATGATAGAAGCTAAATGTGATTATTATGGGTTGACCAAAATTGGCTATAAGGGGTTGGACCAATCGGCTTGACGAGCCCAAATGTTGTACTTGAGAGAAAGTTCTTGAAAGATTTTGAACAGCGTGTTAGATGATTGGTCGGATCAGGGGACCTATTGGGTTAGGTCCCAACAAATTTATGAAATACATTGTGGTTTTTCCCGATAAGTGTGTAGTGAGTTCTATCTCTTGTGATGCCCTATATTTGTTGTTAAGGAGATGATAAGTTTGGTGGTGGCAGATGTAGTTTGAGTTGATGTTAGATCCATGCGTGTTGAGTTGTAGATTTCTCAAACACATGCGGGTGCACAGGCAACTGGCTTTGGACTATAAATGTGTACTGGTCGCTAATATGCACTGGCTGGAGGGTGTAGTTAGTGAATTTGCTGGGCGATGAGCCTATAAATGTTGGGTGCATAGGCATTAAGTTGACTAGAGATGAAAGTTTAGTAGGCTTTTGTCATGGATTTGTTGACAAGTTAGAGAAGACAGATGTTGGAGCCTGTTGGTGGGTAGATGACATCATGATACCTATCAGCCATGGTCTTGTAGCCTCCTTAGTTGGACACAAAGGTCTGCCTTTAGTGTTTTCCCAATATATCTTGTCAGAAATCTTAGAGTCTATTTTAGGAGGTGGTAGGACCATTTTTTATATTTTTATACTGTGTGTACGACCTGTTGAAGGCAAACCTAACAACTATAGGCTCACACTAGACCAAAACTTGAAGGAAAAAAAGGATGGTACGTTGTTTAGGGTTGTTTTGGAGGATATTGGCTGATAAGTGCCAATTGAAAGAATTTGAGAGCTAGGAAAATTGAGAGAACATTGAGCACTTGGAAGTTGGGGGCGGGGTTGGCTTTAAATGCCAAAAGGAGGCAGCCTCATCTTCCATGATGGGCAAGGTCAAACTAAGAATTTATTGAGAGGGAAAACCTAAAGGGCTTTGCTATTGTGCGCTTGAAATGGGCAGGGTAATAGGAAGATTTTTCAGATTTTCTTTCATGCGGCATGGAAATGGAAATGTTTTGGTGCGGAATATTGGTTGCAACATGGGTCTTAAGGACTTGGGAGCTATATGATAAGTTGGGGCTTAAGGTCAGGAGGGCATGGATCAAGGGGGGGCATAAGAAAAAGAGTCAAGAACAATAGAAATTGTTGATTGGAATCGAAATGAAAAACATAGATTTAGGAAGTATTTGGTCATCTCGCTCATTGAAGTACTCAGTAGAGGACAAACTCATCATTGACTATATGGATGAATTCGATAGGTTGATGGACGAGCCTATGTTTTGATGGACAACATAGAGGGATGAATGTGTTTCAACAACTTTAGGGTAACATGGTAGGACATGGGCTTCTTGACTAGCCATGGAGTGGGCAATATGGTGGGAGTGATGAGTGTTAACTGAGTTATGAGTGTTGACAAGTCATGTGAGTTGACAAAGTTAAGTGTGTCGAAAAGTCAAGGATGACACGGTAGGACATGAGATCGTTGACAGTTTGCCAGGATTTTGACCATTCGGGTGTGTCAAAAGGTTGCCAAGTGGGTAAGTGGTCAAAATTACATTTGTGGGTTTGATAAACTACAGGGCTAGTTGACCAGGTGGAAAAGTTAAGGGCTAGCTGTATGGTTGAATAAGGCAATGGACACCAAGGCAGAATAATTTTTGTAAAGAGAGTACTTTTGTTTAGGAACATCGATGGATCCATATTATCAAAATAACTTGAACAGGATTGAACCGACCTTTTGCAGGTTTGAGAAGGAGGTCAACAATATCAGTGTTCGCTTTTTGAGAATTTGCTAATAAATATGAATCCTATGATGCTTGATTCACTTAACATAAACACAAATCTATCATCATTTAAGGTGCTTGAGAAAAAAAAAGGTGCTAGAGAAAGATGAAGATAATCCTTGATATGTCCCCTTTTGTCATAGTTTTATTGCACTTTTTCTCAATATTTTTTGGTATATTCAGTTTAGCTTCAGATTGCTCAAGTTTATCTTGTTTCATGAATACAATTGAGTGTATGAGAACATTCACTCTTTCTGTTCTAAAACTTTTCACGTTGTTTTAGACTTTCCTGTTGAGTTAGGTTAAAATGTCTGCTTGCAGAATGTCTATGAGAGAATTGCTAGAAGAGAAACACCCCACTGCATGGGTTGAATTTGAGAAGGGTATGATTGATGAGGTAAGCCTAGAGAAGTTCCGGACAAGATTCTACGGTCATTAATTTTCCTTGTTCATAAGATTGAAATATTCAAGCAAGTGCCTAGAACAGATCATGTAATAGTTTGTGTTTGCAACCTAGAATGCCTAACATTGTATATATTGCTTCGTTATATTTGATACGATGATATGTCTTCCCAAATCTGTCCAATGATTGGTCATTGGATGGCTAAATGAATTTTCTTTTTGTGCTAAGTTAGTTTTCTTGCGTAATGCTGGATTCTCACCCAAAAAAACAAAAGGCGGGTGAAAGTTGTCAGGTGGGGTAAAGGAAAAAATTCGAGCATGCTGTCTTTGTAATTTCCTGCCTTGCTTGTTGCAAATTTGAAAGGACATCCATTTGTAATCTTTCCATAAAAAGAGTCTATGGGCGTGTTCTGCACCTGTTGTGATGTAGAAGTATGAATGCAATTAGTTTGTTAAGAATTTGCACAACTCTTTATTAGAATAAAAGTAAAGAAACTATTAGCAGCTTAAACAATGAAATAAAACGAGCAAGGGGTCACACCCGCTTAGGCTAAATCACATAACCAGAGATTTGAAACTTTTCAAAATAAAATAGAAAACAACATTATGCCAGAGTAGTAGTTTCAATAAAAATCCCTAATCTAACAGTTAGATTAGTAAGCACATGAATACACTCAAAGCCCTACGTTTACTAAGCTTAGCAGAAGCAGGAGGAATCATCCTTCGTGACTACAATCAAACACAAGATAAAGTTAGACTTAAGAAATATGTTGAAAGGGGAAAGTAGAAACTTTTGTCAAGGATCGGTGAGATCCTCCACTCAATGCCTTCAAACTGCTCTTCGATTGCTTCCACCTAAGTGTCAAGAATACGCTCTATGTAATCTTTAACGGTGTGATCGACCCTTGTATTAACGTCAAGGAAAGTTGACTGGAGAATGCCTATGAAACCGTCCTCGTCGTAGGTCAGGCCGTATTCAGTTTCTGGATCCGCCATTCATGGATGCTTGGCGACAAGTCTTCTAAGGATTATTAGCACCCTTGGTTATTATGAAGAGAAAGAAGTTTATCTTCAATGGGAAACAGAGAAGAGGCCAAGAGTAAGCTTCCTTCCCAAAATCTGAAATTAAATTTCAGGTTTTAGAAAATCAAGGATGGAAATTTAAGAGGGAAAATCCAATCCCTAAATCCCGTTGGGGAGTTAAGCGGAGAGAGGGAGATTGGAGAGAGAGGGGCGGGTATGGGGAGAGGGGTCGGCGGCAATGATGAGGGGATTGGGGAAATTGTTTCCAATTTGCAAGACTTGATTTTGGAAAGAAATAAGGAGGTGTAGGGGCTTAGGAAATTTCGGCCAAAGGAGATTTGGAATTTGAAATTATTTCCTAAGTGAAGGATTGAGTTTAGGAAATAATTGAAGGAGCATTAATGGGATGGGGTAAGGGAGGGCCGGCGGCATCATGGAGTGAGTGGGGATTGGGGGCAATTGATTGGGGGTTCCTATTTTGGATTTAGGAATTAGGAATGTTTTAAATTAACTCCAATTTAAATTTGAAATTCAAATAGGATAAATTTAGAAACTTTTCTAAAATAGATTTAAGAAATTAAGGAAAATTTTGAATGTCAAATTGTTTAGATTTGAATTCAAAAATCTGCCCCAATGACTCCAATCCAAATTAGGCAATGAAATTTAAGGTGGGGAGGAGGCTAGGGCCGGAGGGAGAGGGGGGGTGGTTCGGGTAAGGTGGTCGGCGGCTTGTGGGGGAAAATTGGTGGAGCTCGGTTAAGAGGAGGCGATGGCTTGGAGTTGGAGATGGTTTGGGTGGAGTGATGTCCGGTATGGGTGGTGGAAGGAGAAAGGGAGAAAGATAAGAAAGAAAACCACGAATCCAGCCGTCTCTAAGGTTGGTCGGTGATATGATCTCCCTCTCCTAGGGATTTCTCTCCATTCAAACTCTCAAGCTCTCACAAGAACTCATGCAAGGAAGAAATTTTGTAATCAATCATTCATTACTTCAAAAATAAAACTAGGGGCTATAAATAGCCTAGTACATGAGACTCAAGACAAAAGACGAAAACGCCCTCATGGCTTACATACAACATCCCTCACTAAAAGGGTACAACTGGAAATATCATAAAACAAATACACGACACTGAAAATAAGAAAATCTATAAATAAAAAATAACATAAATAAATCAAAAATACAATGACTCGATCGTGGTCGTAGATCGGCAGGCACGCCTCTGATAAACCTTCCATGCTCTGATGTCCCCATCATGTTGTTAGCCAATTAACCCGAATATGAGGTTAAAAACTATTCACTGCAGGGTTGGGCTGCATGTTTGCTGGGGATACTTTGGTGAAAGCCCATTTCCAACTAACTCTCTCTCTTGGCCCTTCTTCGCCTATCCTCCATTTTCCCTTTTTCTTTGTTTTCATAACTTATGGGTTTTATTACCATTTATATGCAGACTAAGTTTTCAACAGTCTGATTGGAAATCCTCCATCGAAATCTAACTTAATGCGGTTAAACTGCTTGTGTTGTTTTTAATTTACTTTTCTCTAGCTCTTAAAAGGATGGTGTAAACTTCTCCATTTATTCTTTGTTACTATTCTTAACTCAGGTGATTGTTAAAGTACTTGGTTTTTACCAATGTTTAAGATTGCGTATTCGGGTATTGAGGCGTTTTTCATTCGTGAGGCGAGGCGTAAGCCTCAAGGCGTTTTGAGGCGTAAGCCTCAAAATCAAAAGATTGCGTAAACATAAAATGATAAATTTGTTATATACTAATGAGTGAATAATATAAAACATAAAAAAGCATAAGATATGAAGTGAAATCAAAATATCTCAATAATAAGACAACATGAAATATAGTTCAACTCAAAATTCTATCTTTCGGAAATCCCAATATTCTTTTCATTAACATATAATTCCAATTTCCAAAAATAAACATCAATGACATATCACATAAGAACTCATAAGTCATCAGCACTGTCATCACTAAGGGGTTCTTCATTTGAATCATCATTATGGTGAACTGCTCTCCTCTTCCTCCTTTCCTATAGAGTCCAATGTCGGGCATTTACTTCAAGATTTATGTAAGTTTTAATATATATAGCGTGAGGCGTAAGCCTCATGCTAGTGAGGTGAGGCGGGCCTCAACCAAGTTGAGGCGCAAGCCTTATAAAAAAAACTCGAGGCGTAAGCATCGAGGCGTTTTTTACTGGAATTGCGCAAAGGCGGGCCTCAAGGCGAGCCTCATATTGCGCAATTTTAAACCATGGTTTTTACCAATGTTTAAAATTGCGTATTTGGGTATTGAGGTGTTTTTCATTCGTGAGGCGAGGCATAAGCCTCAAGGCGTTTTGAGGCGTAAGCCTCAAAATCAAAAGATTGCGTAAACATAAAATGATAATTTTTTATATACTAATGAGTGAATAATATAAAACATAAAAAAGCATAAGATATGAAGTGAAATCAAAATATCCCAATAATAAGACAACATGAAATATAGTTCAACTCAAAATTCTATCTTTCCCAAATCTCAGTATTCTTTTTAATAAAATTATAATTTCAATTTCCAAAAATAAATAGCAATGACATATCACAGAAGAACTCATAAGTCAGCACTATCATCACTAAGGGGTTATTCATTTGAATCATCATTATGATGAACTGCTCTCTCCCCTTCCTCCTCTCCTATAGAGTCCAATGTCGGGCATTTACTTCAAAATTTATGTAAGTTTTAATATATATAGCGTGAGGCGTAAGCCTCATGCCAGTGAGACGAGGCGGGCCTCAACCAAGTTGAGGCGCAACTTTTTACCAGCACTTATTTATAAAGTGATGGTGAAATAAATGGGGATATTATTAGTAGAATTCAAATTGGATAGTTGAAGTAGTGGAATGCATCGGGTTTATTGTGTGATAAAAACATATCCTCAAACTTGAGGGAAAATTTTATAAATGGTGGTGAGACTTATAGTGCTTTATGGCGCAAAATGTTGGCCATCAAAAGAGAAGCATAAAATTAAGTGTTGCAGAAATGAGGATGCTCAAGTGGATGAGCGGATTTACTCTTAGAGACAGAATGCAAAACGAGTATATATATGAAAAGTTTGGAGTAGGTCTAGTGGCAGATAATATTGGATAGTCACCTTAGATGGTTTGGTCACATGAAACATCGGCCTTCCGATGACCCTATTAGGAGAGTAGATATATTAGATTTGGCAAATATTAAGAAATGTAGAGGTAGATCTAAAAAGACTTGGTTAGAAAGCATTAAAGACTTGGTTAGAAAGCATTTGAATTGACCTTTTTTTTAATTTGATCTGAATGAGTGTTTGACTCTTAACAGGAAGATGGAGAAAAAAGGATGTGTTGCCGATCCTACGTAGTGGCATAAAAGCTTGATGTTGATTTTGTTATATTTATAGCAAAAGGCTGAAAAGTAATGTTCTTATTAAAAGTCTTCATTTGCTAGTTCTTAATTTTTCGCTTCTCTTCCATGAGCTTCCAAGTTAGAAGTGGAAATTTGTATTGTTCATCTCTGAGAATTCTGGTTGTCTTTTTGGTATTGCAGTTCTCCTAGCTCAAAAAAGTTGAGGTAAGTGGTTGGATTTAGGTTCATTGGTAGCTATTACACCATGTCACTACTATATGCTTATGAATGCCTTAACATGTAGCTATCAGGTCTTGACGAGGATGCTCTCTCAAGAAGGGTTCCTTTGGGGATCTCGCATGGGCGGACTGAGGAACTCTCGCTCTAGGGAATCATTAGGCTCAACTTGCCTCGCCCTATTATGGAGCTCGTCCTACATGGGGATAATCGAAGATCCCTCATCAAACCATCACTCACTACTAGCTCTCTCACTTGTTCTCCCCCTGAACATTTAAGCTTGCCTAACTTAGCTATAAGAAAGCGCCTACTTAGAAGACATTCTTCAACTACAATCATTTGGCCTAAGCTCTTTCATTCCCACAACATCTCACTCACC